ACATAGTCATAGACATTACAAACGAGAAGCTAGACACAAAGCTAGCGAGGCCGGCGTTAGAAATAGTACAGTCGTGATATTAGGTTCACAGGCGTTGCTTTGCCTATACGCCATAATAGCACTAATCACGATCGTACAGCTTATACGATGCTTCTGGTATCGGCCCCCTGGTCTACTTTGTTCTATTCCATCCCTCCCTTCCAGCCTCCTCACAATACACCTGCATTCTGTCGCGTGACGATGCGGTCAGCTGCTTGCTTTCCTCTTATTTCCATCGCGCCACCAATTTAGAAAAACGCCTTAATAAGTACTTGTAACTAATAATACGTCTTAATAAGTACTATACGACTGCCGTCAGCGAGTGCGTGTTTTACCGACACTCACTGGCCGTGTAACGCACGCCCCCTCGTGATGGGAATAGTCAAAGAAATATATAGAGACACGAGTACACTACTGTAGTGTATTATGTCTATGTGTGTAGTTACATTGTTAGTCAACCCCGCGCGCGTTTTCGCGGTGGCTGTTGCAACGATTACGGGTTGTTCTATAATCGGTGCCGGAGTTCCACACGTTCCGGCTTGGCTTCCATTGTTGAAGGTGATAACGCGGTGTAGCGATGTGAGCGGGCAGTAACCTTATGTTTGAATGTTGTATGTTGAAAAACGATAATGTTTTATCGCCAGTCGTGGTTTTTTTAGCGACGCTCGAAGCGTGACTTCCTTCTAGAACTTAACGATAGCGCGAAATCATCAAAAACTCGTCACCGTAACTTTCGCTTGGTCTCGGTCTTTATACAAATTCGTCAGCCCCTTGGTTTGGTTTTCGGTATGCTTTCGTTATTTTACAAACAAATTTTAGTGGAAAATTTGGGAAATTTATATGTTTAGCTGGAACTGAAAAAACTTTAACCATTGACGTAACGGTGAACTTTGGGGTGGCCTTCTGGACCCTCGTTGATTCACATAATTATGCCCTTAGGCTACATTTCCTTTTCAGTCTCACGTAGTCCTATTAGAGTATTTATTATGCGGACGTGATTCTACGTGATGAATAATATCAAGAGTATATAATAGAGATTATCTATATTATGTATATTATATATAATATTTCTATTACGTACTCTTGATAATATTTATCAGGAGCCAGCAAGCGTCGGTACAGTCACCATGCAGCAACGCCATGTGTGGCTTTAGTACTTTTCACGTAGCTTCACTTACTCAATCTCGCTTAAAATCGAACAAGAGAATGAGGAACCATCTATTACTTCACCTGCGAGCTTCGCTGATTTTTTTTCTCGGCTGTGATTTATAACTCGTTTTTTCTAAACTAATCTACTATGTCACATGCGAGTATTTTGATAATTTGTTTCTTGGCTGTAATTTTCAATTCGTTTTCTCTAAAACCCGTTTGTGGCAGTTCATAGGTCGCTTAAAATTCCAACGAACAAAGAACTATAATAATAACTGTAAATTGCTAGTAAGCCCTAACTACTTTTTTTTGGCAATTGGCTGCAAATACTGCCTTTCACCGCTTAACTCCCTCTCCATCGTAGACGTGAGAGTTAAGACTCTCACATACGTACGTAAAATGCGTTAAGATGAGGCACACACGCTTTACACACACGCGCGCGCACGCAAGCACACTCAAACGCACCACACTCACGCACGCACGCA